GTATCCATTGCCAAAATTGTAATATTTCTACTACCTATTTGATATTTCCTAAGTAAGTATAATTTATAGTTTGAAGTACCATCGTAATCTGTCATTATTATAGACTTCCTAGACTATTTCTTAGTTTTGAATACTTTTGATTAGGTATATCGTATATGGATCAATTTTCCTGGAAATCTGAATTATATATGGTTTTTTTTTGTGATAAATAAATTGATTACATTTTAATAATAAATTATATCAACAACAATCATTATAATGGTTAGGTTAGGTTAGGTTTATACATTTACACATCATAATAATATATTATTATAATGTAGGTAACAGCTATCATCATTTACATATTATACCTATTATTATAGTATATTTTACCTAGGTTGGAATTTCTTATTAAAAATACAAATAGTGCATATGGCTATGAAATGTTTTAATAACAATGTGCGAATATGAAATAAACTATATGTATAAAACTATTATTATAATTTATAATACTTAATGCTTATATTATACATATATACCATATTATACGTATGAAAGTGCGTGTCTACTGAACATTGTTTAGGTATATTGTCATTGTGTGATCTATGTCGTTTATTCCATTTTAACGAATGCATATGGTATTACCGCTAATTGTATAAACAGTGGTTATAAAATGGGTGTATTTAACACAGTGCGAAATTTAAGGAAAAATATTATGCAAATACTGCATTACGAGTAGAAACGCACGCATGTAGTATGACGTATCATGACACGAAAAAAAATGTAAAAAAATAATATTCATATTTCTATTAATATATTTATTTAATTTAATTTATTTAAATACAAATAAAAATCCATGGTGGTAATCATGTTAAAGAAATGCATTAGACTTGGAATAGCAATTGCTATTAAGTACTAACCCTTTTAGTTCAGCCAAACTGAATTTCCAACGAAAAACTCAAATACTTACGTAATAATACTTATGTGTTATAACTTATAAGTATAACACTTATATTAAAATATATATATTAAGATAATAAGCAATTATATAGCTAGTTATTGTTTTATGATAAGTGATAGCCATTTAAAATCAAACCAGATACAGTATGAAATTGTAGAAATAAAAGTAAAACCTTGATATTTTGAGCGTAGCAAAACAATTTTTTTAGGATGTATTTATACATAAGTTGAAGTCATCAATTTCATTAACCACGACCCCTCACAAATATTACGTAACGCCTGGTAATTGCATAAACCTATGTAAGGCTTTAGCCACAAAAAATCTTCAAAATCACGTAACAAATCAGCCCAGAAAATCAAAGTTCAATCGGCCCTAACTTAGTAACGGCCACCTACCTATCATCACTCTTAATTCAAAATTTAATTTTACCATCCAAAATCCTCCAATATATACTATATTAGATTCTGAGTGAAACGATGAATGTATTGATTTTACACAGTGTTTTTTTTATTTTTTTTTATTTTTTTTTTTATTTTTTTTTTATTTTTTTTTGTGTCTGTCATCACGTTTTGGGACAGTAAAAGTGCTTCGATTTTCTTCAATAGTACCTTTTCTGATAGGAAAGTGAATCTAGTTGGTACTTTGGGGGGTCAAAAGTAAACATTTTCCAGTAGTTTTCACAAGCGCCGGGAAAAACAACATAAAAATTAAGGAAAAACGGGAATTTTTACGCAAATTCGATTTTCCAAAAAATCGAATTTGGTTTTTGGTGTAACTTTAAAACAAATGACCGTAGATACATGAAATTTTCACTGGTTGTTTATATTTGCATTTTCTATACACGATAACATTTTCAAAATATTTTGATTTATTTTGAACTGTTTAGGGACATTTTCATTTTTCATTTTTTTTTAGTTTTTTTTCTTGAAATATCAATAAAATTTTATTTGTTGGTTGCGAAAGCTTGAAAATTTAATAGAAGGCTCCTAATATGTTGTTTCAAAGGCAGATGAAAAATATTAAAAATCCTTAGTCACAATTTTTTTTATAAGCATTTAAAGTTCAAAAATTGACAAAATATGGAAAAATCACGAAAATTAGCAAATTCTTTTGAGTTAAGAATTCGTAAAAATTTTTCTTTTTAAATCTAAGATTTGAAAATGAAACACAAGATTCCTTATAAGATTATCTACCTTTATCAATAAAAAAATCTCTACCGGACAGTCAAATTAAATTTTTATGAGCGTTTGAAATTCAAATTTTTACAACATTGGATTTTCACTCGATTACTCATGTAGCGATTTCCTTATTTTGTTGCAATTCAAAAACGAACAACTGTAGATACATGAAAATTTCACTGAATGTTTAAATTAGCATTTTCTATACACCATACAACTTTGAAAATATTTTGACTCTTTTTGAGCTGTTTATGGACATTTACACCTTTCAATTTTTTTTAGTTTTTTTTTCTATAAATATCAATAACGTTTTATCTGTTGGGCCAAAAAGTGTAAAAATTTAATACAAGGCTCCTGATATATTGTTACAATATCAGTTGAAAAATATTAAAAATACATAGGCACGATTTTTTTTTAAAAGCATTTAAAGTTGGAATTTTGACAAAATTTATCAAAATCTCAAAAATTATCAATCGTTGGAATTAAAAAATTATAAAATGTTCAGTTTTTATAACTAAGAGTTGAAAATTTAAAACAAAGATTCTCTTAAATAATTCATACTGTAACCAAAAAATCTAAAAAATATATAAACACACTTATTTTTTACAGACATTTTAATTTCATATTTAAACCAAGAATTACGATTTTAGTTATTTTGTTGTGATTGTATAATATTATTCGTGGGTACTTGAAATTTCTAAAGTAATCTACTATATATATCTATGATAGTATCAGGGTTTGTTGTTGGTGTATAACGCGTTATAAGTACCTAATGGATATTGTGATATGATTAATTTGGAATTAATTATAGGTCAATTTTTTTTAATACCATAGCTATGTATATAATATGTCTTATACCTAGAAGGACATACCGTCTCCACTCAGAATCGTTTTTCTTATACAATGATATTATATCATTGAATTCAAATTTAATACCATCCATTATACAATGACCCACTTGTAACCTACAGTACAGCAGAGCGACATCCACTTACCCACCTTTTTAGATTCTGAGTGGAGCGATAAATGTATTGATTTTACGATATTATGTTATTTCCTGTTTTTTTTTTATTTTTGTATACTATTTCCACGATTGTAATGCTTCGATTTTCAACTTCAATTTCTTTTCTGAAAAGAAAGTGAATCTAGTTAGTACATTCGAGAGGTAAAAATTTATAACTCGCAGTTGTTTTCAAAATCGTCGGAAAACAAACCAAAAATTAAAGAAAACCCGGAGTTTTTAAGCAAAATGCAGTTTTTAACAAAATCTATTATACCATAGATACACGATTTAATCACTGAAAGTTTATTTTAAAATTGTCTATAGACTATAAAATTTACAAATTTGTTTGACTCTTTTTGAGTCAATTGTCAAATGTCAATAAAAAAATTAAATACAAATTTAATATAAGGTTCATCATATTGAGTTGTTATTGGTGTAATTTAAAAAGAAGTTGAGTGTAATTTTATTATTGGAAAACGGATAACTGTTGTATGTATACATTTTTTTTGTACATAGGACAATATGGTATAATATATTCAAATACGAACAGCGGCCCACCGGCAATTTTCCCGGCTTCCCTGCTGCTCATTCGGCCATTGAGTCAGTACTAAATAATCTCATATAGTCTATTATAATATATTCTATGATGGAGAATACAAATCAACCAAAATAAATCCATTTACATTATTTTTATTCTTCGTCCAAATGATAGCCCTCCCTCTGGCCGCTTGTATAATTAATTAATAAATCAATCCCAATAAACAACTCAGTAAAATATCTATGAGTTCACCTTGATAATAGATTGACCTATGTAACTCACATTAAATTTAAAAAAAAAATAATAATATGGCAGGTTGGTTCTTCGATGAACCATTTAGCTTTGGGGATCCCCTAAAACATCTATATCTAGCTTAATATTATTCCAGTCATTTCAATTAATAAGCCTTCGTACCTATCATATGCCATAACCCATAGCTAACGCTCTATTGTCCCTGCAGGTAAGTTAGCAATCAGACGCTGCACCACGACCTCAATTGTATTTTTTTTTGTGGCCAAATTTTCACAAATTGTAGATACTTTTTGCATTTTTTTTCACATTTCAATAATCGTATTTATATATTATGTCATACTGATGCGCAAAACAAAATAATCTCAATAAATTATAAAACACATATTATTGTTGTTAGCAGACATCACAATTTTTTCAACTGTTATTTACTGTAACTAGTAATTTCAAGTAGTAGTACAGTCAAAATAATATAGTCGATCACAAGTCAATCACAACATAACCTGACCTGAGGCACCCAAAGACTGGAGCGGGCGCCAGTCATCAATTTTAAACTTGTTTTGAACTGATATCCTTAAGCTGCTTAAAACTGGCTGCAGTTAGGACACATAATGGCGCCAGAATAATTTAACCTGCAAAACTATTATTTTAGGAACAATTTATTTTAGGGTTTCTCTGGTACAGTGGTACCTTAAGTCCTAAATTAATCATTTAAAAGCCAGTGCCAAAATAAGTTACGTACATTCTACTATAAAGTAATTTTTTTTTTATTGTTGGGCCTATTCATTTTCAAAATATCTTTTTCGTTATTCAACAATGGTTATTAAATACGTATTGGAATAAAATAGAATTGACTATTTTGTGGATTAAGCTGTTCTGGCAGTGTGCCTATAGGTTGCCGTCGTAACGTAGTCAAAAGCGAATTGCTCGAAAGCCGTTCGCCTAGGGGACAGGAGAGGCGTAGACTATACAAAATATATATATATTGCATAACGGAAAGTCGCGCATTTAGCTACAAGTGGTGGTGGACGAAATCCGTTTCTGGGAGTGAACGATTTAGAAACCACCCAACTTACAGAGACCAACACGTCATTACAACCACTTTAACATGACATATGCACCGAGTAGCTGCTGGAAAACTTCAAAGACGAAAAACAAATTTACAAAATTATTATTATTAAGATCATCATCGCATCGAGGTTTGCGGTGAAACGCCGCACGTCGTCGCGGACTGTCGGCGAAAAACCCGCAGACTCCACGTGGGAAAATCGCTCCCCGACCGGCAGCCGCACATAACGCGTAAGGTATATTATGTGTTGGTACGCGTCCAATTATCCCACGGGACCACGGTAAGGGGTAACTGCCGACCACGACCGCGGCGACCACGCACCTACCCGGGACGTCAGCTGCTGCCTTGGCGGCGGGAGGAGGCAGGGACGTGCGCGGCGGCGTGTGTGCGATCCGGGGGCCGGCCGGCCGTCCGCGGTCTGCGAAGCGGTGCGAGCCAGACCTTTCGTTCAGTCGTCGACTTGCCGCCGCCGCCGACGATCGTTTACAGGTAACGTTTATAGCCGCGTGTTGCCGGCGTTTTTGCGTCGCACAGTTTCGTAACTCGTCCATCGACAATATTATTGCAACACATCACTATCTAGTCGTCTATAGTCGGCCGACAATAAGGATCGATTGACCGTGTTTGTGTGCGTGTACCTACCTACTATCGCCGCGCCATGTCGTCGTCCCAGCAACCGCGCCGAAGATTCGTCATCGGTCTGTTTCTGATCGCCGCTGTCGTTCAGGTTCTGTACCGCCCCGCCCAGTGTTCGTCGCTGATCAAATATTTGTCTACCGAGTACAATTTGTCCAAAGTGAGTACCTTCCACCTGAGTACATAAAGTAGTGTTAAAGTTCTTGTACTTCGTCATAGATTTAACCCTCAACCCCCCTCCTAATCTTCTCCATTCAACAGTCCCATTACCATGTAAATACAGTTGAGCATAAATATACGTAGTTACATACTTACATATATTACTTATATATATTATAATGTATGATACGCCAGACGATAACGACAATTACTACGATTTTAAATTATAAAAATATAATAGTATACCTTTGTGGTAACTAAAAAGCCTATTATACTATTTATAGGTCAGTGGCGTGGCGTGGGTATTAAAAAGATGTAAGCAGTGAAATTTTTTTTTCAAAAGTGATTAGAATATAGGTACTATACCTAAATACCTAATTATAAATTATGTATAAAAAAATGTAATAAAGAGAAAATAAAGAAATTGAAGTATAAATACTTCAAAACTCAAAAGTCTATTAGGCGAATGACAGTGACAGTGTACGTAAAAACGACTACATAAGTCTACAACGCGTCGGGCTACGTACACGGCCTTACGGGTCGCTCCTATTGTTTCTCGCGTAAGCAAAATCAAATGTGCTTACAAACGCTAGTTAAATACGTGACCCCCACTATGGCATTATAGACTATTCGAAAACAACAGCTGCCCGTAAGCAATTTCAGAATGTGTTACACTGTATATCGTATTATGATTATGCAGTTAACATAATACAGAATGGATTAAAAATAGACCTACAATCGATGATTTTCTTAAAATAGTTGGTAATCAGTAGACAGCGTACGAAACAAATAAACAATAACAAAAACCACTACCAGCTATAACTTAAATATTTTATAAATAAAATTAAAATTTTAAAAATCATTTATTATGTACCTATTAGTCGTGATTGATCAAATTTATTTTTTCTTTTATTTAAAGTGTAAGCAGTGCTTACAGTGCTTACATGCACGCTACGCCCCTGTTATAGGTACTCCGTAGGCACAATATTACTGGTCAAAATTTTTACTCTCAGTAGTTGTCGTTTTTAAACTATATATTATATAGGATAATGGTTAGTGGCTGGTATGCCTTCTGGCCTTCTGGGAATGAATTTTAGGGATGAAGTAACGTTGCAAAATACGGAAAACAGTTTAAGACACGATTTATACGTATGTGAGTTAGTTTGATAAGTGTATTTTTATGGTAGGTATAAAATACCTATTACCTAATTAAACAAACCGATCCAATTATAATCTAAGTAGAGAATGAAATGCACATACATCTAATTATATAACCTAACACTTTTCTGCAATTTCGTTATACCCTCCCCCCTTCCGGGCTAGTCGATTTAATAGAACATATTTGAAAATCCTGCCTATAGATAGGTACCTAATACTTATTATTTTATAGGAGCCGAAGGAATAATCGTGCTTTAACTGAATGTTCAAAACAATTTTATCGTTTTATAGAAATATACTAAATCTGAGTAAAACTTATGGAGTAACCAAAATTAATATTGAAATCAGAATAAAATGTCAACATTATGGAGTGAATATAGGTGGGTGTGTTTCAGATATTATTGTATTCAATTTTTTGATTGATTAACTTTTATGATTACAAAATTGGATTGGATTTAATTTATACGGTATAGGTAGTTGGTAGGTACCTAATTAATGTCTATCTTAATAAAACTTTGAATTAATGGCCTTTAAATAAAAAGTGGCAAAGTAGTTGTGAACTCGTAAGTTATTTAGTCTTTCTTGGACCACTTCCATAAATATTTGATAAAGTCCTTGACCCTGAAACTGTATTGATTGCTGGTTACTTACTTACCCGTACAGCCGTACAGGGATGAATGGACGATGAACACTGACGATTTGAGATTGGCTGAATGAGTGTGTATGATTGTATTATAAATTAATATAAATGGATGAATTTATTTAAATTGAATAATTTGTATTAAGTATATTATTATAATATTCTTATATTAAAATATATACAAAATTAAATGTCTTTAAAATTGTTTGCATAGTATACTTTTCCTGATTGAATTGGTATTTAGTTACTGCTTATGTGGATTGTTAATTTAAAATAGGGCTTATGATTTTATGACGATTATTTTTAATTGACGTTTATAGGAATTATATATTAAATCATCACTAACCTAATTTATATACCTACATTAAAGCTAAAATTTCACAACTTATATAATTGAATATTAAATTTATTATAATTTATAAGTAATAGTTAAAAAAAAATAAAAAATTAGTTATAACTTATAAACTTATAAATTATAGGTAATATGAATTGTTGCTATAAGACAAATATGTAGGTAATAATTATTAATTATTAAATAATTTGATAATTTGGAACCGTATGAAGGTATCTAGTTTTTGTACGAATCTTTTTATCAAAAACATAAAACAATGAAAAATACCGTATTCCGATATGTATTTAATATTTCGTAAGCGTATCTATTGAGTATTTGTGTGTTGGTAATTGATATTATCTACTGATAGAACTGGTACATATTTTTCCATAGTGTCACACACTCTTATAGGTAGTCTTATTACTTTCGAAAATTCCAATTTATATACTAGGTTATGAGTGTTCTGACTAATGACAAATTTAAAATGTCGATTATATCCCTTTTAAAAAAATTTTTTTATTAAATTCACTATTAATTAGTTAAATTAAATTATTATATTAATATTACCTATATGATAATATTTTTTAAATTTTTTATTTGATTTAAGAAGTCTATTCTAGTGGCATTTAGACAAACCATAGGATTGTGTTTTGTTAGGCTCCAACTAAAAAGTACCAAAACTATACTGCATCCAATTTAACTAATTTATCAACTCAGGAAATCATGAATTTGTATTAGGTACATTTGATGTAACACATCACGCGATGTAAAATTACTGTTGTTGGCTGCGGAAATGACACAAAATGGTATACCGTATTCATAATGATATTTTGCTTATACACGTTCACTCGTGTTTTTCAATAATATATGTATATTCATTGTGTATTCTAGCCATTCTAGGCATTTATTTTCTTTATACTTTTTACTGGTTGTGTATATTTTACTCCCATAGATTCCTCCACTACAATTCTGTATGTTATACCCATTTAAAGTTGTTAAATGTAAATAATAGTGTATTAATAAGTTATTGTCGTTGATATTATTACCCTAAAAAGTTTTACAAATTTCTTCCATACTTTTTTTTTTGTTAGTTAGGTTTGTAGGATTATTCACAAATAATAGGGATATAAATATTGAGTATTTGAAGTGAAACAATAATTGGGAATAATAACTTTACTATTTTTATCGCTAAACTAATAAACCTAATGTCTATTGGTTATGAAATGAGTTTTTAAGTCCGATACTTATAAATTATAATATGTAAGTTATTTAATAATTTAATATTAAAACACCTATGGAGATTAAGAATACTATTATAATTTATAGTATATAATATTAAATATAATGGTACCTACCTATATATTATAGTTTTCCTTATATGCCTACTGCTTTAAAGTCAAGTTTTATGGAATTTAATAATTTCTTTATTTTTGTTTGTTAATAATGTATGAATATGTATTATACTAATGATTTATTCCTAGTTTATAAATTCAAATATTTTTTAGTAAAAACTAAAATCCACTATTTATATGAGAAATATAATTAAATTCTTAAAATATTACATTTACATTACATATTATAACAATATAATATTTACTATTTGCGTGTGAAATGTAGATGTCGTGCGAATTCTATGCATAATTTTCTAATTGAAAATAGACCTAGTAAGTCATAAATCATAATAAAACAACACAGATTCAAATGTGTGTGAATAAATAACAAGGTAAAATGATTTGTTGTTTTTGTTTCAGTAAAATTTAGCATATTATCTTTATTAATTTGGCTATATTTAATTTTATTTAAAAAAAATCTGCGTAAGCTTGAATTAAAAAATATGTCGTTTCTTTTACCATCTATTACACTCTATTTTTCTCTATTTTCAGTATATCTTTACGAAGTATAATATTTATACAATTACTAAACAAAAATATAGGAAATGTTGAATAACATCATGAGTTATTACAATTATTTTAATTTTGAGTTTTGAAATAATCAATACACTTGAAAACATGCAGTTAATAATTCTTAATTTTATTATGTATAATATATAAAGACAGCATTTAAATAGGGGTATATGTAAACAAATTGCATACTAATTTAATTTGTATTTGTATAATTATTGTATTAGGTAACTTTTAAAACTACTAAGTTAAAGAAAAAATACTACCTAGATAGGTAGACTATAGATATTCTCACTTATTATGATATTATATGAGCTTAATGCGTATGTAACATAATATTGTAATGTAAATTAAGTAAAACAAAAAGTATGTATTTATAATATTTAATTGGTTTTCATATGTGCGTATACATAAAATATATTAAATCACCGTGGATTATGATTTATGATTCATATGTTTATATGTTACCAAGAAATATTAAAGGAATTCACAATATGCTCACATGATTTGTACACACTAGTTGATGAGTGACTAGACTTCGGATTTACTTTTTTGTTACGCATATTGTTATGACATTGTTATAAATTTAATATTCCTACTAAAAATATGTATGTAATTTGGTTAGGTATAAGGTACATACTACAGAAAAGTACGTTTATTTCTAGTCCAAAGTCATATTTTGTTTACATACTATAAAAGTATAAACACGCCTAGCTGAATATAATA